GGGTCGGGGATCTGGGTGCGGTTCCGGGTGCTGTTCCGGGTGCTTCCGCTGGGGCTCCCTTTTGGGTTGGGGATTCGGGTACCGTTCTAGGTGCTCCTACCGGGGCTCCGTTTTAGGTCGGGGGTCCGGTTGTGGTTCTGGGTGCTCCTGCTGGATCTCTGTTTCGGGTCGGGGATCTGGGTGTGGTTCTGGGTGCTCCCACCTTGGCTCCGTTTTGGGTTGAGGATCTGGGTGCCATACCGTGTACCGTTCCGGGTGCTCCTACCGGGGCTCCGTTTTGGGTCAGGTGTCCGGGTGCGGTTCCAGGTGCTCCTACCGGGGCTCCGTTTTGGGTCAGGTGTCCGGGTGCGGTTCCAGGTGCTCCTACCGGGGCTCCGTTTTGGGTCAGGTGTCCGGGTGCGGTTCCAGGTGCTCCTACCGGGGCTCCGTTTTGGGTCAGGTGTCCGGGTGCGGTTCCAGGTGCTCCTACCGGGGCTCCGTTTTGGGTCAGGTGTCCGGGTGCGGTTCCAGGTGCTCCTACCGGGGCTCCGTTTTGGGTCAGGTGTCCGGGTGCGGTTCCAGGTGCTCCTACCGGGGCTCCGTTTTGGGTCGAGGCTCCGGATACCATTCCGGGTGCTCCTACCGGGGCTCCGTTTTGGGTCAGGTGTCCGGATACCATTCCGGGTGCTCCTACCGGGGCTCCGTTTTGGGTCGAGGCTCCGGATACCATTCCGGGTGCTCCTACCGGGGCTCCGTTTTGGGTCGAGGCTCCGGATACCATTCCGGGTGCTCCTACCGGGGCTCCGTTTTGGGTCGAGGCTCCGGATACCATTCCGGGTGCTCCTACCGGGGCTCCGTTTTGGGTCGAGGCTCCGGATACCATTCCGGGTGCTCCTACCGGGGCTCCGTTTTGGGTCGAGGCTCCGGATACCATTCCGGGTGCTCCTACCGGGGCTCCGTTTTGGGTCGAGGCTCCGGATACCATTCCGGGTGCTCCTACCGGGGCTCCGTTTTGGGTCGAGGCTCCGGATACCATTCCGGGTGCTCCTACCGGGGCTCCGTTTTGGGTCGAGGCTCCGGATACCATTCCGGGTGCTCCTACCGGGGCTCCGTTTTGGGTCGAGGCTCCGGATACCATTCCGGGTGCTCCTACCGGGGCTCCGTTTTGGGTCGAGGCTCCGGATACCATTCCGGGTGCTCCTACCGGGGCTCCGTTTTGGGTCGAGGCTCCGGATACCATTCCGTCCCCCCACCGCGACCTGGCCAAGGCCCAGGAGGGTGGCGCCAAGCTCCAGCGAGACCTCAAGGAGGTGGGTGACACCCCCCCCGCCCAGCACCCATGGGTGAAACTCCCACCCCCAGGACCTGCTCTATGGGGGTACCCACTGGGAACGCTCCCCCACGCCCATAGGTGCACCCATCTGGGACCCCCTCCCATAGATGCACCCATCTGAGATCCTCCCCACCATGAGTGCACCCTCTTGGGAACCCCCCACCATGAGTACACCTTCTTGGGAACCCCCCCACCCATAGGTGCACCCATCTGGGACCCCCTCCCATAGGTGCACCCATCTGAGATCCTCCCCACACCCATGGGGGCACCTGCATGGGAACCCCTCCCACACCCATAGATGCACCCATCTGGGTCCCCCATCCCTGCACCCCTGTGGTATCCCCATTGTCCCTGCAGTCCCTGTCCCCGTGGTGTCCCACCATCCCCATGGTCCCCATCCCCATGGTGGCCTCACTGTCCCCGTCACCCTAGTGTCCATCCCCCTGGTGGCCCCATGGTCCCCACCCTGGGGTGGCCCTGCTTTCCCCATCCTCATGGTGCCCCCATGATGGCCTGCGGTCCCCATCCCCGTGGTGGCCCCATGGTCCCTGCCCCCATGGTGACCCTAGTGCCCCCACGTTCCCCGTGCTGGCTGTGCCATCCTTGTCCCTGTGGTGGCCCCATAGTTCCCAACCCTGTGGTGGCCTCATGGTCCCCATCCCCATGGTGGCCCTCCCATCCTCATCGCCCCTGCCATCCCCATGGTGTCCATCCCCGTGGTGGCCCCCCCCACACC